CCAAAGCCTTAATCCCATAAGTTTGGGGAAGTGCCCGTTTCCAATATTTCACAAAAATTAAGGAAAGTAAAGAAAGTTTGAAATCATGTGTGCAAGTACATTGGGAATAGACTATTATGTTTAGTGAATATAATAATGAAAGTACATCAAATTTTTTTGTTGGTTTATGCAAGTAGTGCATGTGGGCACCAAATTTAAAGGGTATTTAAGGAAGTTTAGTAGATTCAAAGGTATAAAGTGGGGGTATGTAGGTAATATACAAAAACTAAAAATAGAAACAAACACTTAATTTTGGGACATTCAGTAAGGAATACAGGCACTTAATTATGGGACGGAGGGAGTATGATTTTTGGATAACATTTTCACGATAAAAGTCTGTTTCTACTTATAGGCTGGTACCTTATCCACTTTATGGTGTCGTCTTGTGTGTCTCAGGTTAAAGTCGATATGGGTGAACCAGTGCTTAGAGCAGCTGATGTACCTACAAAACTGCCTGCAAACAAGGAATCTTCTGTTGTTAAATCAGATCTAGTGGTTGATGGAGAAACCTGGAGCATCACCTGTGTGAGCATGGGGAATCCTCACTGTTTTACTTTTGGTAGAAAAGGAGAGCAGGTATAATTTTGTCCGTCTTGTTTAGTAACATCCTTTGATTAGGGATTCTGTAGGCTGATACTGCTAGATTCTAATCCGTAGAAGAGGTTCAACGAATAGAATATGTGAGCATGGGGAATCCTCACTGTGTTACTTTTGGTAGAAAAGGAGAGCAGGTATAATTTTGTCCGTCTTGTTTAGTAACATCCTTTGATTAGGGATTCTGTAGGCTGATACTGCTAGATTCTAATCCGTAGAAGAGGTTCAACGAATAGAATATGTTATTTCATGATTAGCTGAAAGATTTCAGTCTGAAATTTTGCTGATTTCGTGACCAAACAGAATCTGGTGGTTGATCAAATACAATTGGCTGACATTGGACCGAAATTTGAGCACCATGATGTATTTCCAGCTCGAACTAACACTGGTCAGTTTTTAATTTTGATAAATGATGATGTGATGTAAAAAATAACTGTACATTTTGTGTGTTAATCTTTCCAAACTGTGAGCTGTAAGGAGGTTTATTCTCCATGTTTCCCTGATAATTAGAATACTCTTTCTTCTCATGAATATGTTGACATTAGAGGCAATTTTTGTCTGCCGTAAGAGTTTATGATATAATCACTTGTTTATCCAATTTGAACTGGAACAAGTAGTTAATGATATTGAAAGCTTGTGCCTTATTTGTTTACAAAATAAAATATATCCATACTTAGATAGTCTTCAACAACAACAACCCCCCCCCCCCCCCCCTCCCCAAATATTTCCATGTTTGGACATTCATTAATTTTTTCCATATGCTGTCATTATGCTTCTTATTTTCTGTTAGTTTTTCCCTGAAATCATTTACAAGCATAGATGGATAGCAAAAAGAGTTTATATACTCCAGCCTGGCAAAGTCGTGTACAAAGTTGAAGCACTTTGGTATGCATCTAACTTCTCAAACACCCCCCCCCCTAAAATAAAATAAAATAAAACCTTAAAGGAAAGAAGAATAAGGGGGTGTACACAAACTGGTCCGGACCTGGAAACGACCTGAACCGGATCTATTTGGACCGGACCGGTGAATTCAGCTCCGGTCCCGGTCCTTAAAAATCCATAATTCCAGGTAAAATCTGCAATTTTTAAGTCTGGACCTGAAAACCAGTGAAGTTACTTTTCTTTCTTTTTTTATTTATTTATTTATTTATTTTTTATTATTTAACAGGTCCATATCAGGTCTAAATAGGTCCATATCAGGACTAAAAAAAGTGGACAAATTAATAATCAGGACTATTCAGGTTTAAACCCGAACCGGACCTGATTTTTCAGGTCAGGTCTCCGGTCCTTAAAAATCAATGATTCAGGTCCCGGTCCATTCAACAATCTGGTGAATGATTGTCTTTCTCCCGTATGGATGTATTTGTATGTATGTGTGTTCCTAAACTCAATGAACGTAAAACATATCACACCAATTCGGCAATCTATATTTTTGGCTGTCTGAAGTCCAAGATGTTAACATTACGAAGTAATACCTATTTGCCTTATAAATTAAGCAAAAATAATGGGATCTTGCATGCGGATATATGTTGCTTTTGCCTTTCTGATTAATACACTATTACACTTTCCCGCGGAACATATAGAATTATAGATACACCAGACTGTCTGAATTTATCCATTGGCAATCTGATACCTATGAATCTTTACGTTTTTCTCAATAAAAGCTCTATTTGAAGTGCAGTCCGTGTTCTTTGTTGATTTATTCTTTCATTAGGTAAGATAAACTTTACTTGTGCGATATGCAGACTATTATTATATTATAATATATATATATTTTTTTTTATTCTGGGAGTGGGGTGGGGGTTATAACTACTACATATTTATTATACCAGTTTCTTAATTATGATGTACTGGTCATGAACTGTGGTATTATGGATCCCTGAACTTATTATCTCTTTTTTATTTTGGAAACATTTCAGTAAATCATACACTGATTCTTATTGAAATGCTCTGTTATTGACAGCTTAAGGATCATGAATTTTCCTGAAAACTGTATTGATCTTGCAGAGTTTGTTCAAGTTTTCTCTCGGTCACACCTGAAGATGCGTGTATGGGAACGTGGTGCAGGTTGGATTTTATTGGAAAGTCTTTTTTTATAAATTTTTTTCGAGAGTACAAAATCATAGAATGTATTTTTCTTTCCCTTTTTCTAAATTACTTTGTATATTTATATACAAATACTTATATTAGTTGGGCTGTTCCTCATCCTTGTTGACTCCAATTACTTGGTTGTGCACTTGTGCAGGAGCTACTTTAGCCTGTGGAACATGAGCTTGTGCAGTTGTTGTTGCTGCAGTGCTTGAGGGTCGTTCTGAGAGGGTGAGTACTGCTTAGTATTTCATGTTTGTTGTGATACTCCCTGATAGCCAAAAAAATGTTCATATTCCTCTCTGAATTGCTTTCCGTTTCTTCATTGCCTATACTAGTATACTGTTTGATATTGCTACTGTCATTTAATATTTATTTGTTAATTTTATTTTGGGGGGTTAGAACTGCACTGTTGACCTTCCTGGAGGGCCATTGGAGATTGAATGGAGGAAGGAAGATAACCGTATACACATGACTGGCCCAGCTGAAGTAGTTTTCTATGGATCAGTACCACAATGATTTCCTCTGAAGCATCTTTGAGCTTTTTCTGTGCCAATTTTCTGCTCTTCTATCAAGTATTTGAAAGGCGAGATTGATTAATATTCAGTTATGTGGTATGAACTAACCGTAGTTGATGCAAGTGCATTAGCTTGTAGAGTGTAGACTCATTTTTGTATTGCTTAGCTTACATGGTTTTTCATCGTAGGAAATGTTGATTCAAGGCATCTGGATTGTTACTTGGTAGGTTAGATTATTTGTAATCCTCTTTAAGTGTTGGAATTATACTTATGACCCGGAGATTGTAAACAGTAATGAATTCATAAAAACATAATCTCTATTTTTCCTCTTAGACCATCTAAATAAATCCATCCATTTATTCTTTGGAAAAATAAATAAAAATAATCCAAATTATGGGCTCCCTTCTCATTTTAATCCCAACTACTTTTTAAATCAGAATAATCCCAACTATAAGAGTCTCTTCTCAAATTAGTTTCAAACTTTTGTTAACCAGTTAATCAGGTAAATTGAGCCATTTTTCAACATATATTTGTTTTATTATTCACATTATTATAATTTTTTTTGAATTAAAAAAAAAAAAAAAAGCAACATGCTCTTAAATCTAAATTCATACCACCACCTTTTAAATGTTCTGATCTCATCACCTACCCAACCTAGTCCTTCCGCTAAAACCACCTTAACATCCACCCCCAGCAACTTAAAAATCTTTCCCGGCCATGAATCACCATTAAGCGCTACTAACCATCAACATTAATCACACCAACGACTGCTGAACACGAAGAGGAGATAGGAGAGAGAATGGAGGCGATTTGAGAGAGGGGAGAGGAACAGAGTGATTGGACGAGAAGATGAAATGGGATGCACAGAAGGGGGAGGAGATGCAGTTGATGGCGGATTGACGAGGTAGCAAATGGGATATAGGTGGGGTTAGGTGGTTTGGGGGGGGGGGCGCCCCTGGTTGAGGGAGGGGAGAGGTGGGTGATACAGAGGTAATGGATGGGGTTGTTGTTGTGGTATATGGTGGTGGTGGTCTGGCATTGTGGCAGTGAAGAGGTGGTGGTTCCATGGTGGTTGCAAGATTTGGGGTTGGTGGACTAGTGGCTGGCTAATTGTGGCTATGGTTGGGTTGAGGTTGAGGGTTGTGGGTGAATGCTGGTGGGTGACAATAATAAACTAAATAAATAAATATAAAGTTAATTATTCTCTTATAAAAGATTAAAATTAAAAAATTACGGGTATTACGGGTTGTAGGTAAGAGGGACTAATTTGAGAAGGGTTTCTTATAGTTGGGATATTCTGATTTAAACATTAGTTGAGATTAAAATGAGAAGGGGGCTAATAGTTTGGATTATTTATGTTAATTTTTCCTTATTATTTTTACAGCTGCATCAAAATTACATAAAATTATTGAATTGATGATATGTTAATTTGAATAAAGACCTTTTGATCACGGAATCTAGTTGCTGCCCTTGCTGGTAGCCAATCACCATATTAATACAATTATTAAAGTTAACGATAAAAATGAGAAATCTTGTCTGCATCGTATCAGCTTCTGCACCTTAGCCCATGGTGCTTACATTTTCATTTTTTTCGACCAACTTCTCGCCTTTGCCTACAATTACTTAATGCTGGAGAAAAAAGAAGCATGCGATTATTTATGAAAGAGATACAGTAGCGTAAGGTCTTAAAAACTTTGGGACATATAAATAAAGTTAAGAAACCCGTGTTCTAATCTTTACCACCGCCCGATAGCTCCCCCCCCCCCCCCCCCTCTTCTCACCTTTTACTCGTTGGCAATCGGCGCTCCTCTCTTAGTCATTGTCGGTGAGTGTTGTTCTATACAATTAGGTTATTTTTGCTTTCTGTTTCGGTGTTTTATTTCCGGCAACGAAAACAAAGGAATTGCAAATTGGTTTTGTTTTTCAAGTTCATCGGGGATTCAATCAACTTTTGGTGGGTTGTCAAGTGTTTGAGTTTCTAATATTACAACGAGTCGAGAAGCCAAGGCTATTCTTAACGCCACCATTGAAAGGAATTTCATTAATTGTTTCTCGACGATAAAGGCGAAGTTAAGACTAGGGTTTTCTTCCTTAATCTAAGGTTTGATTTAGGGGAGGCAGTCTTCTTGAGTTGGACTTGATGAGTAGTTGTTGTGTTTGGCTTTGATTCTTTCGCTCAGCTAGCTTGGTGGTTCTTTTTGCTTCTCCGAGACTCACGAGTTGCTTTGTGGGTATTTGTTGGTTTTCTTTGCTTTGGTCTATTGTATTGAAGTATAACAACCGTAAATAATTATCCTTATAATTATTTACTTATGATCACTCTTGTACAGCTAGCTTTCTTATCTCATAGTATGCTTATCACCTTAAGTTGTTATATTTTGTAATTATCTTTAGCTTTGTAGTTCTCATGTAAAGTCTATTTAAAGGCTTCTTCTGTTTAATAGTAAGTATCTTGAAAAGCATTCTCTTCTTATTCTTATATGGTATCACAACGATCGATCTAAATTTTTTTTTCCTTCTCTTCTTGCTCTTATCATGGTTCTTAACAACGACTCCATCATTCCCAATGCTAATGATCCAACTAAACCCTTCACTGTGGTTCATTTTCACAATGCCATTAAGCTTACCCCTACCAATTACATTGCCTGGAAAACCCACCTTCAAGCCACGCTGCTCGGATACGACCTCGACAAATTTGTAGATGGCACGTTTCCTTCCCCACCTGCCTCTATCACCACTGCCGAAGGAACTTCAGCAACCAATCCTGCTGCCCTCCCTTGGTTCCGTCAGGACCGTCTTGTCTTTGGGGCCCTTGTTGGCACCCTATCACCTGATCTTGTACCTCTTGTCTCTCAATCTGAAACAGCCAAAGAAGCATGGGATATCCTTGCTTCCACCTATGCCAATCCATCCCGTGGTCACTTCAAACAAATCAAGGACCACCTAGCCAAGATCACTAAGGGAAACCTTAGCATTTCTGAATATATGCAGGCCATCAAACAGTGTATTGATCGCCTTGCCTCTATGGGGAAACCCATGGATCCCGAGGATATTATTGATAAAGTCCTTTTTGGCCTTGATTATGAGGTTTATAAGCCTGTAATTGATGCGGTTAATGCTAGAGACTCTCCTATTTCTTTCGAAGAGCTCCATGAGAAACTCATCACTAGAGAACTCATGGTTGCATCGACAATTTCTCCTACTCCCTTTCCTGCCACAGTCCATGCTGCTCAACACCGTGCATCCACCAGCCACGCTAAGCCTCAACATTATCTCACACCCAGTCCAGCTCTTCTTCCTACTCCACGCAATACCTCTACTGCACCTCGTCAACAACGCCCATACCTTGGTAAATGTCAGTGGTGCCGCAACCAAGGTCATGCGCTTGATCAGTGTGCTATCTTCAAAGCTCTCTTTCCTCAGATTAATGTCCCAACTGCAACACAAGCTCGGGCTGTTCAACAAGGCCATCAACAACCTCACGCTCATCTTGCCACGGCTAATAATGTCCCTGCTTCAAACTCTTGGCTCTTAGATAGTGGGGCATCTCATCATGTGACAAATGATCTCGCCAACCTCTCTCTACATGCTCCCTATGATAGCACTGAGGAACTTGTAGTTGGTGATGGCTCGACTCTTCCGATCCAAAATACTGGTTCATTCTCTATCTCCACTCCCTCCTCTACCTTTCATTTCTCTAATGTTTTACATGTGCCTTCCATCTCTAGAAATATTCTATCAATCAATAAATTCTGTCAAGATAACAATACTAGCATTGAGTTCTTACCTTCTTTTTTTCGTGTTAAGGAGCTTTTGAAGGGAACCATCCTCCTTCAAGGTCCAACTAGAGCCGGAGTCTATCAATGGAACCCAGGTCCTCCTCGAGTCTTCACAAGTCTCAAATTACCTGTGCATGACTGGCATCACCGTCTTGGACATCCATCTTCATCTATCCTTAGGATTTTAAATTCATCTTTCAATTTAGCCATTTCTGATTTTTCCATGTCTCATTGTAATTCTTGCAATATCAATAAAAGTCACAAGTTACCTTTTTCGGTTTCAACTCTCACCTCTACTGCTCCTCTTGAACTTGTCTTTACTGATGTTTGGTCTTCTCCTATTTATTCTCATGACAACTTTAAGTACTATGTCATTTTTGTAGATCACTTTACTAAATATGTATGGTTCTATCCCCTAAAGAAAAAGTCTGACACCCATGATACTTTTTTAAGGTTTAGGGCTCTTGTAGAAAAATATTTCAAACGTCCCATTATTCAAGTTTTTTCTGATAATGGTGGTGAATATGAAAAATTAAATCCCCACCTCTCTACTAATGGCATCTCTCATCTTACCACTCCTCCACACACCCCCGAGCATAATGGCTATGCCGAACGTCGACATAGGCATATTGTCGAAACAGGCTTGTCACTTCTTACCCATGCCCGACTTCCCTTAGCCTTCTGGCCTCATGCCTTCACCACTGCTACATATCTCATTAATCGTCTCCCCACTAAGTCTCTTGATAATAAATCCCCTTATCTAGCTCTATTTCTTTCCCCTCCGAACTACCAAAAACTACGGAATTTTGGATGTTTGTGTTACGACCCTATGCCTCCCACAAACTAGACTCTCGCTCCCTGCCTTGTATTTTTCTAGGCTACTCATCTACACAAAGTGCGTACTACTGCTATCACCCTCCTACCAACCGCATGTACACCTCTCGTCATGTAAAATTTGTTGAGGATGTTTTTCCCTACCCTGAATAATGTCCTCCACTATCATCCACAACCACAAATGTTGATGAGTGGTGCACTGTACCTATTCCTATCATACAACAGCCGGTCCCGGCCACTAATTCCGCTTCCGCTACGCCCCCTCCTCCTCCTTCCCCTACTCCTCCTTCTCCTTCTCCTCCTCCTCCTCCTCCTCCTCCTCCCCCCACCCGCACTATGGTCACTAGGCTCCAGAATAATATTGTTAAGCCTAACCCCAAATTTGCACATCATGCTGTGGTTCAATCTTCCCTAACTGAACCAACTAATATTACTCAAGCCTTGAAAGATCCGCAATGGCAGGCTGCCATGACGGATGAATATAATGCTCTCACTCGCAACCTCACATGGACACTTGTTCCACCCTCCTCTACTCAGAATTTGGTTGGCTGTAAATGGGTGTATCGTATAAAATATAAGTCGGATGGATCAATTGACCGCTACAAAGCTCGACTTGTGGCCAAGGGGTTTCATCAACGGCCTGGTTTAGACTACTCTGAGACATTTAGTCCTGTCATTAAACCCACTACAGTTCGCCTCATGCTATCCCTTGCCGTTACAAATGGTTGGTCTATTCGCCAACTCGACATTAACAATGCATTCCTTCAAGGCTCCTTAAAGGAGGATGTATATATGTCACAACCGCCCGGCTTTCTAGACAAGGATAATCCCTCTCATGTTTGCAAACTTCAAAAAGCAATATATGGTCTAAAACAAGCGCCACGGGCTTGGTATCAAGAGTTTCGTGCATTCCTCTTGTCTTATGGGTTCCGCAATTCTATTGCCGACCCCTCTCTGTTTATGTACCGTCACAATGGTACAATTTTTTATCTCCTTGTTTATGTAGATGACATCATCATCACGGGACCCTCTACTTCAGCACTACAAGTTTTTAGTGATCATTTGGCAGCAAGATTCTCACTGAAAGACCTTGGTAACCTGTCATACTTTCTTGGTGTTGAGGTGCTTCCTCACCCAAAGGGTCTGTTCTTAAGCCAACAGAGATATATAGAGGATTTACTTGGAAGAGCAAATATGGCCGATGCCAAATCAGTTCCTACACCAATGGTGACTCATCCCCCCCTCAATATAGCTGATGGCACACCACTTCAATCACCTACTGAGTATAGAGCTTTAGTTGGGAGTTTGCAATATTTATTGTTAACTCGACTAGATGTTGCTTTTGCGGTTAATAGATTGTCTCAATACATGCACAAACCCACTGACTTGCATTGGGCAGCTCTAAAAAGACTCCTTCGTTACCTAAAGGGGACATCACATCATGGAATTACTCTTCACCGTGACTCTCCCTTGCGACTACATGCATATTCGGATGCCGATTGGGCAGGAGATCGTGATTCTTATGTCTCCACCACCGGTTATATTGTCTACCTTGGTCGCAATCCTCTATCTTGGAGTTCGAAAAAACAACAGGGACTTGCTCTTTCCTCTACTGAAGCTGAGTTTCGAGCCGTAGCTTCAACCACGGCAGAAATTCTATGGCTCCAATCTCTGCTTTTGGAGCTTGACATTCGCTTGCTCTATACACCGAGTATCTACTGTGACAATCTGAGTGCAACTCACTACTCGGCTAACCCCGTGTTTCATTCACGAATGAAACACTTAGCACTAGCATTTTACTTTGTGCGTGAACAAGTCCAGCTTGGCACTCTTCGTGTCCAACACATTTCTGGTTCAGACTAGCTTGCTGATGCTCTCACTAAGCCCCTTGCTAAGACAAGGTTTCATGATCTATTTTCCAAGATTGGCCTCACTCAAAAGCCGTCCATCTTGCGGGGGAGTATTGAAGTATAACAACCGTAAATAATTATCCTTATAATTATTTACTTATGATCACTCTTGTACAGCTAGCTTTCTTATCTCATAGTATGCTTATCACCTTAAGTTGTTATATTTTGTAATTATCTTTAGCTTTGTAGTTCTCATGTAAAGTCTATTTAAAGGCTTCTTCTGTTTAATAGTAAGTATCTTGAAAAGCATTCTCTTCTTATTCTTATATATTGTTTTATTTTAAGTTTTGTTTAGTGTTAGTTTTGTTCTGTTATTCTTGCATAGTTTGTTTGTTTTGTTGTTTGGTTTGTGTATTTCAATAATATTCTTGTTATGCTTGTTCATGAGCTTGAGTTTCATAGGCTAGTTCTAGTTATGGACGCTTATGAAGTGTTGTTGGTGCTCTTGGAGTTAGGCTTATCAAGTTTTTCCTTGAATTTAAGGGACGTAAGTTTAGGTCGTGCCTAGCTTGTTAGGTTGATGGTCCTTTTGATTGCCTTTTTGAGGGTGGGATTATGTTTGCCTAGGATTTAGATTTCATCGGGTGAGGAGGAGCTTTAGAATTAATTGTGTGTTTTCCCTCGGTAGTTTGGGTTGATTTCTGTTTTTGGTTTTCCAAGCGGGTAGGGTGTTTTGTGCAGGCAAAAGGTTGAATGCAGGAGCCGGGTGGTTTTTCGGGGAAAGTTTGGTTTGCCATTCTTGTTGTTTTTAAGTTATGGAATGATTTGGATATTCATGCATTAACTCTCATCCCATTGTTGGTGTTGGTGATGATGGATTTAGTCATCGCTGTTAATTTAAATCTTGAAGGAGGCTCCCCATCTTTATTGTTTGGGGTGAGCAATTCCTCCATTCTCTTGCACTCTCTGTTAGTAGAGTAGCAAGAGAGGAACCTGCATTTTGGTGCAAGGTTTCTTAAGGCAGAGTCATTCAAAAATACGACTCTCATGGTTATGTTCCTAGAATCTTAGGAGGTCGCTATGTCTTTCGTTCCTTAGGAGTGGAATCGGATCAAGGGTCTTTTTTACAACAACATGCTACATTCAAGTCTTGGTCGTTATTTCATCTCTCCGCATCTTCCATTGCAAATTGGCTTATGAGTCATTGTAAGTTTCGGTTTTACTTTACTGGTTTCAACCTGCGCTCAATGTCCATCTTGTGGTTTTCATTTCATTTGGCAATTCTTGGTCCACGATAAAGTTTTGGTAAGGTTCATATGGTTGTCCAGAGTAAATGGTATGGCACAAGGTGTTTTGCTTTAATCATACACTTTGTTCTTTCTCTACATGACGTTCGTTTATTGTTAGTGTTTAGGTTGGTGTTTGTTTGTTTTTATTTATCTCCTAGGTTGTAATTTGTCTTTGTTATTTAAATATGAAGTTCTCTTTGTCAAAAAAGTTAAGAAAAACTAGTTCAATTCAAAAAATAATTCCAAAAAATAATTTTAGTTCAGCAAAAATAAGGTAAAGGGAACCGGGCTTAATACAAAATAAAACCTGAAGCGAAATTATTGGACTTGGTAGCTAATTGAATTCGTCCTTCCATGTATACAGAGACTATTATAGAGAGAACCAAGGCCATTAGAATTGTCTAAAGTTTAGTAATAATATTCAAATTTAGGTTGTCAAATCGAGAATTGCATAACTATTTGTTCGGCACCGAATCATGGACTTGACGATAACCAATTTTTGGGCCACATCACTACATCTTCTCATCACTCCAAATCACGGACTTTAACAAGCCCTTCATGAATAAAGGTGTCAATTTAGATGTTCGGAATCGGGTTCGCTGAGGTCAAATCACGTTATCTTATCTTGCATGATTCAAGATAAGGTTAATAACAAACTTTGGAAACCCCTTAAGATGACCAAAAATATCAATCTCTCCCATCTCTTGTATGCGGATGGCATTTTTCTTTTTGGAAAAGCCGACCTTTCGAATATTGAATGCATGATGAAAGTCTTGGATGATTTTAGGAAGATCTCAGGTCTCTATCAACATTCAAAAATCCTCGATCATTTCCTCCAAAAAAAAATGGATCATTACCTTAGGAAGCTTATTTATGTATTTTGTAACATTTCAAACACGACTAATTTTGGGAAATACCTAGGAATTATGATTAGCCCTAACAAGTTAAAAATTGCTGACTATCATGATCTTCTTAAAAAACAAATTCTAAGATTCGAGGCTGGCAGAGTAAACTAATTAATATGGCAGGTCATTGTACTCTCATGAAGTCAGTCCTCAACTCCTATCATATGTATGCCATGCAAACAAAACTTCTTCTGATTTCGGTTTTGAATCAACAAAAAAGAAACATTAATAAAATTCCAAATTTCAACCCTGTTTGTGTTAGATGTAACCATCATTCTGAAGATAATGTCCACCTATTTAGGGAGTGCCTGAATAGCTCAGCTTTTTGGTCTTTTGTCTTTAAAAAATTTACTCACCTTAATATTAATCTTCATTATTTTTTAACACAAGCTTTGAAAACTGGTTGGAGTTTAATTTTAAACATGATGTTTTCTGGAAAGTTTTATTTACTACGGCCTTGTGGCATCTCTGGTCTGCTAGAAACAAACATGTCGATGAAAATTTAGAAATTTCAATCTACTCAATCTTTGACAAGTTCAATGTCGATCTTTCCTGCAATCTAAAGCTTTCACAGGTAGAGAAAGATGCTCCCTCGTCTAGCAGCAATCCATCCCCCAAAACTTGGGCACCTCCCCAAAAAGGGTACTTTAAAATAAACACAAATGGTTCCTGGTTGGCCCTAGACAATGCAGGTGCTGATGGAATAATAAGACGCGACAAGGGCAAGTGGCAAATAGGATATACTACCAAAATCATGACTCTTGGAGCTGCTTCTGCTGAGCTAATTGCAATCAGAGAGGGCCTTACTATTGCTTGGAACAAAGAAATCAAATTTGCAATTTTGGAAACTAATGCTCAAGCCCTGTGCTATATGCTTGAAAACCCAGAAGCTTATATGGATAATCAGCTTGCTGTTATTATAAAAGATGTTGCCGACCTCTTGCAAAGGCAATGGTCTATCACTATTCTTCACGTCAAAAGATCGGCAAACAAGATTGCTCATGGTTTAGCCTCTATTGGAAGGGAGCAATCTGACGAGGAAGTGGTTTTACACTACTCATCCCCACCAGCGCTTACTGACATCTACCTCAAGGAGTTGAGGTTTTGCCTCGACATGTCAACTGCAGAATGATCTGCTTCAAGTCACAAGTTGACTTCCGTTTTCTAACTAATGCTCTGCCTAGTTTTCTGGTTTTTCTAGTACTTGATACTTATTTTGCCCTATGTATCGGCTACCCTTCGGGGCTGTGTTACGGGCTTTGGGCTTTATGCTTGCTAATTTTCCTACTGTAAGCTTCATGTAGCTCCACTTTGTTAGCAGCAATGATCTGCTATTTTCTGGGTGTTTGTTGAGCATCTTAATATAATTCCCCTTCGGTTTTAATAATAATAGTAATAATAATAATAATAATAATAATAATAATAATAATAATAATAATAATAAAATCACCTTGTGTCAATTTTTAAAGAGTTGAGTCATGTTAATTATTGCGTCAACACGAGTTGAAATCTGAGCCAGATATTTTTCGGATCGGTTTTACATGGGGTTGGATTGGGTTGGTTTTGACACCTCTATAATCATAAGTGGTTATCAAATTTTATCACCCACACCATCGCTCAATTTCCTACATTATTTAACATCTGAAAAGCCCTTCTTTCACACAGCTTTGAAGCTCCAATTCTAAATTTTTTATCAAAAATGAGGTAAATTCAGATAAGGATGAACTTATACTATCATGTAACAACTACACACAACAGAAATTTAATCACTAGGAGCTCAGCAACTTCTGATAATGAGTATCAAAGTTGACAAGCAGAGAAAGTATTAACTCAGGGTTAAGTAAATTAAGAGAACACATTTTACAGATTTCCAACATAAGCGATCATCATAACGAGCATATCTAGATGATATTAGTAGTTCACATATCATATTATAGCCATATATTGAGTAGAAAACTTCACTAACACTTTAATTTCACATACACAATCCTAGAATTTCTAAGCAATACCTTACATGATATCGTCATTTCTAAAAAAATCATGTGGAATAACTTGCATCGACAAACATGGAGCATTGAATGATGGAAGTGTTTACATTTTACTAGCATATCACTCTTCAACATATATGTGAGATGATGGCAAAATCTTAAGGATCCACCAGAAGATTCTTCAGTGTTCTTCAAGTCTGTTCCTCAAGTACACTCCTTCAAGTGTTCCTTTTAAAAAAACAGTGTGGCTTAGAGAGAAATACATACATTATTGAATTGAATTATTCTACATAGATATATATAGTAAAAGCACATGAGAAAGTCAGCTTAGAAAAACCAGTGGTTCAAAACCATGGGGTTGTAATTTATCATGCACTCCAATGATGCATAAAGATTTTGATTTTTCTTTTCTTTTTTTTTCCTTATCTTTTTTTTTTTGTGAAAAAAACCTATGCCTTTGTAAATAGTATTTGATCGGTTGTGGATTACACACGCGCACTAGTATTGTACTTGGAATGCAGATTGTCTCCTATTTATAGCCATATTATTTTTCACCCTTACTCGTAGAATTGACATTCGCCAATAAAAGAAAGAGAATGATCAAACCTGCGTCAGTTACGATTCAGCATTTCTTGAATAGAACCAGCAACTCTACGACGCCGTCCCTAAAGCCGCAAGTAATAGGGTATCAACATCAGTGTGCTTAATTTACACGATAATTACATCAAGAGATTAAATAACTCACCCGTTCATTTTTGAACAAGTCCTCAGCCATGGCTTCCATCTGTTTCCTCTTTTTCTCATCCTTCACATATTCAACTACTTCCTTATCATAGTCAGAATCACTGGCATACAGTTGTATAACAAATATCAGATAACAAAGAGCCTAGTCTTTACAGTAGCAATTATTGAAAATAATTAACAACAGTCGATAAAAATATCAATTAATATGAGAATGATCTGATGCAACGTACGTATATGGATATTTTGAATATGGAACAAGGTTGCTATAGCTATTCCCAGATTGAAGGTTAGTCTGCAGTCATAACAAATAGAACAGTTCATAACAAATAACAAACTACCCATGACGAGAAAATATAATTGACCAACGCATAGAAATTTTTTTAATATTGGAGTTCAGCAGCCTATCACAAATAATAAGATTTTTTTATTTATGTATGTTGTGCAAGCAAACCAAATATCGAGATCAAAACAAGAATATGAACAAGAAAAAGAAGGCACAGAACAGATTCCTAGAAATGGTTCTTCACCAGCTAATTAATATCACTCCTATGCACATATTCTGTTGTCCAAAAACTAAAAGTAATTCTAAAATGAAATGTTAGAAGAACAATAGACAATCATTTCAGTAAACTGAGTACAAGCATAGCCCAATATGATAATAGGGATACATGAACATCTTTTAGTAAAGACTAAATTAGCTAAACCAAATGTAGCTGACCAATCAAAGCTTCTGAAAGAACTCCCTTAAACAGCCACAGCACTTAATCTTCTGAACAGTTTGGCAAAAAACTCTCCAGCTGATAACTAAAGCAAAACTTTCTTTTGCAAAATTCTAGATGCTAACTCCTCAACAAAGAATATCTAAGTAGCCAGCCAAGTTTGCCATAGCTGATTGTAAGTACATGTGTAACCACAGGAGATGGGATGTTAACCATGCATCCGCATCAAATCTCATGATTTGCTTAATTAAGAAAATTTTCACAAAACCTGCTTGGCTGCTTATGGTGAATTTTGAAGCTTCAACAACAGCCATATCTAGGGATTATTTTCCTTCAAATTTCAAACAGCACCCTTAAATTTTCATCTTTGTGGACGAGACAGATTTAAACAAATTTCACGAGTGATCCTTCAATTTTGGGCCCGGAAATGGACCAAGTACCACAAAAGTTTCCCACTTTCTCTAAAGACAGTGAGCATACAGCCAGAATAAAAATACTAGAATTCTTGAAGGACGAAAGAGTGGATGGATAGTCATATAGTCCTAACCCCTGATCTCTTGCCTCTCTAAACCTGGAGACAGAGGACCTGTACTGTACTTACATCAGGACTGTCGTATACACCTGTGGCCCCACTCTTCAATTCCTCCACCCCCACCACGCCCTTCCCACTAATCAGAAAAGGGAATAAAAAAAAACAAAAACAAATACAAACTTGTGTAATCATTAGTATATGAGAGAAGTACATACAAATAACAAGAGCATGCAGAATGCACAGGAATATGATGGATTCTGGAACTAGCCGGTATTGATATTCCATGGGTTTATCTGCCATGTTAGAGGTAGTATACTAATATGTATGTTTAATCGATTGGAATGAAGCTTTTCAGGGGGGAAGGTGGAGTGACTCACTTAGACATGCTTAAGCAGAAAAGATATAAAGCATTAGCAGTAATAACTTACCTTTCTAAAACACTTGAAATTAATAACTTCACCGTCTGATACAGAACTCACTGAGACATTTGTATTAGTATTTCTAACAATTAACTTTTGGCTATAAAGAATATCTAGGTTCCAACTTTCCAAATCATCGTTCCGGGCATTCGCTACTTCCCTCTTTGGCTCTAAAAAACTCAGAGCTTTACCAACTTCTGGTGATAAAGCATCTTTATTTGCAGATTTCTTGTCAATATTCATGCAGTCAGTAGTCTCTGTTCCACTGAATTTTTTTGTATTATTCTGCATCCCCAATTCTTCACATATAACACCTATACACAGAGAACCAGTATGTTTTTGAAATATCTGCACCACTTTCATAACTTGCATGTCAAACAACTACATTGGCCATACTTGGATGATTGGATGTTTCTGCTTCTGCATCGGAGTCTGCAACCACTGTCTCATCAGTTGAACACGAAGAAGAGACTAATACTGCAGAAATAGTACATATCTTGGTCAAAAGCAGGCTGATCATTCTCCAAAAGGAATTATCATTAAGTGGGAAGAAGGAATACAAATACAAACTAGTAGGCTGATTATATTAATAAAACCATCTATCACTTAAAATGTTGCAGAAAGTTTTATTAGTGGTGTGGGTAAGTACATGGTACTGGAAGAAGCATATAATGTAGTATTGACGAGTAAAAAAAATGCGTAGGATTAGATAGTAGATCCAATTAAAGATTAGGGTATCTTCTTATGTTGTGGAAAGAAAAGGCAGAGGTGACCAGAGATAGTAAGCCATGCCAAAATAAGAAGTTTACAAAAAAAAAAAAAAAAAAAAAAAAAAAAAAAAAAAAAAAAAAGAAAACAATCTATACAGGAAATAGTGCAATCCTTCAGGGATGGAGAGATTAGTAATCTATCTCAGTAGAATAAAGGAAATTAGCATGCAGAGTTGCAGACCATGATAATCTAGAACAGCTCAACTTCATCAAAACTGTGGCCAAATAAAAACAATAAATAAATAAAACCCTTCAACTTCATCAAATATAGAAGGGACAACTCTTGTTGTCCGATATAGTTCATTAATTGATTCAATACATATGAAGAAATAAACAGACATGCATAGATGGTTCATCAACTGATTATATTACTCCCTCCGTCCCAACATATAGTTCCTTTTTGTGTTTTTTCACGGTATTTAAGAAATGGGAGGAGAAAATGGATGAAGTAAATAAAAAATAAAAAGGAAAATTTGTCAAGAATATTATGACCTTTGCTCGGTCTTCCGAAAATAAAACGACCTTTTAAATATTTCTTAATAGAACGACCTTTGACATGCATCTTCTATAAATAGGATGAAACTGGTTGGTGACCTGCTTAATAAGTTAGTGTGACACATGTCACTTAGTGATTGGTAGATTGTTTTTTTTAATTACAATTTTATATTAATTAAATGATATGATTTAAAAAAAAAAAATAAAAAAAAAAAAAACAGCTGCCCCACCCTCAATCACCACTGCAACCGAAGCCTCCACCTGCACCCCTACCATGGCCACCAACAACCAAAGGCCCCACCTTCACCACCATGGCCACCCTTCACCCTCAACCAACACCATCACCGTCGCCGAAAACCCTCACCCTAGCTTCCACTATCGCCAAAAACCCCAGCCAACACCCTCACTGTTGCCAAAAACCCCCCACAAATACCCCCACTGTCGCCCAAAAATCCCCCACCAACAACCTCCACCGTCACTAACACTATCAAATTCAAACCCAAGCCACCTCAAATTCAACCGCAACCATGGTAAAGACCTTCAATCAACCCCGACCCTTAATCACATCAATTTTGGGGTTATAAGGTGGTTCATCCCAACCCCAAAAGGTGTTTCCAGAAATGCTTGGCTCGTGGTTTCCTAAACCATGATTCATCCCAACCCATTTCCGCCGCATTTTCCGCTTTTGGTGACCCAATTTCATGGTTAATCACTCTTGCTTTCTTCTTCGTTTGTGTGTTCATCAAACATAGACTTGGCAAAAGAATTGCATAACATTTTGTGAAATTATTAGGGAGTTCTTCATTAGGATTATGTTCTAGTCTTGTTTTTAGTGAATCACTTTATTTCATGGTGTTGTGGGAAGAAGATGGGGAAGGACCGAAGGAGAGCTGGGGATGACAGGGGAGGGGGAAGGGGTGGGGGGATTTTTATTTATTTTTAATTATGGTGTTTTTATATCTAAAATTAATTTTTTTAAATGAATAAATGTAAAAATTAAAATAAAATATTTCATCCAATTACAATGCGACACATGTCCTTTCTTAACCTAAGAAATAGGTAACCGGTCATTTATCTTATTTATGGAAGATCAGTGTCAAAGGTCGTTTTATTAGGGAATAATCAAAAGGTCGTTTTATTTTTAGAAGATCGGGCAAAGGTCATAATATTCCTGACAAATTTTCCAAATAAAAAATAAAAAGGAAATTTTGTCAGAAAAAACCATTTATAACAACCGTTTTGTTGGAAAAAACCTTATAAAATTTTTTGGCAAATAGAAACCAAGTTGTAAATTTTTTTTGTTGAAGACAACCTGAGATCTCTAATCACACAATTAACCTCTAATTTCCCATTAATTCTTCTAATTACTAATAACTCTCACTTAAATATTTAATAATTAAGTTAATTTATAAATTAAAAAAAAAAAAAAAAAACACAAAAACCACCCCCATCACCACCAGCCAACCACCCTTTTCCTTCTCCCCCTCCCGTGGTAGCAGCCCCCTCCCCATCCCCAGCCGCCGCCTAGAACCCCCAACCCCTGCCGACCCACCTCCTCCGCCGAATCGACCCCCCTCCTTTCCCCTTTACCCTCGCTGTGCGCGACCATCCTCTAAAGTCCAAACCCTAAAACAAAATTTCCAAATTTCCAACCAATAGAGTGGCTCTGAGGCTGCGGCTGCGACCAAAGTTGGTGCGGTGAGACTTGGGCGATGGCCAGTGCTGATTGGTGATTCGAATTGTTGACGGTTTGAAGCGGTTTTGTGATTTATTAATTGTGGTTGCTAATATTTGGTGAAGGGAGCATGTTGTGATGTGTTGTTGCGGAGTTGCCTTGAACCAAGCGTCGACTGTCGCAGCCTCCAGGTGAGTCTCCGGTCACCGCCGTCAATCAAATCGCACAGGAAAGAAGAAGATGAAGGTGTTCGAAATTTTAGGGTTTGTGAGAATTGGGGGAAATCGACTTTGAGGTAAGTTTTGTTTTGATTTGGGTTTTTTTTAAAAAAAAAATTGGGCTGGGCTTCTTGGGTACGGTAGAATTTGGGATTTCCCGTACCCGAAACGTTTCCGATCATGATCCTAGTCGTCCCCTAAATGACGTGCCGTACCACTTTTGATGGGGACGGATTGGGGACGTATTTTAGCCGTCCCCGTCGCGTACCCGTCCCTGATACGTTTCGGGTACAGGAGACGGCTACCCAGCGGCGTACCCGTGCATCATTGAGTGTAATTAGAAGAAATAAGAGGAATTAGTGGTTAATTAAGTGAATTAGGGGTTCGTGGTTGTCTTCAACAAAAAAAAATTACAATCTGGTTTCTAGTTGCCAAAAATTTTTTATAAGGTTTTTTCCAACAAAAAAGTTGTTATAAATGGGTTTTTTCCGACAAAATTTCTAAATAAAAAATAAATGAAGTGAAAGTACAATTATTGACAAAAGTTATAGAGGGTAAAGTGAACGAAGTACATAAAAAAAAGGTGAAAAGTATAATTATACACAAAAGCAAAAGAATGCACTTATGATATACTCCCTCCGATTTTAAATACTTGCTCAATTTCTCCATGCGCGGAGTTTTAGAAGAAATTGGAGAAAGTAATAAAATATAGAGGCAGTGGGGTAGTAGAGAAAATAAAAAATTGTAAAAAGCAAAAGTAGTGGAAGAATAGGAGGAGAGAGAGTATTATGTTGGATCCACCAAGTGTGAGAAATGAATTAAATATTGTAAAAAGTTTCCAAAAAAGGAAATGGAGCAAGTATTTAAAAACGGCCGGAAAAGGAAAGTGGAGCAAGTATTTAAAAACGGAGGGAGTACCAACACTTTGGACGGCTCACAAATTTATTTGGAAGGCTAGATTACCTTTCAGGGTGAGATCAAACGTTTGGACCTTGGCATTGGGTAGAACTAACACTTATGATGTACTAATAAGGAGAAGACCAGAGATGGCTATTTCAACAAATAAGGCATGTTGTATCATGCAAATAACAAGATTTTCTCACGTCACCTTTTTCATGGTGAAGATGGCAAGTATTTTTTGAGAAGGCAACTTTCTGTGGAAGGGGCATTCCAGGTTTTCCTTTGTATGGAACTGTTACAAGTTCAATTGGTGGGCTTTGGAAGGGCCAAGGTGAAGAGCACATGGTGTAATGCTTTTACGGAAATTCTGTGATGCCAATGGTTAGAATGGAATGGACAAATTTTCTAAAGAACAACTTTAAGTGGTGAATTGTAATAAATTAAATAACTTATTAAATTTCTTTGAGGGCAAAATCAGTGAGGGCTTTTGATAGTTACACAGCTGTAGAGGGAAACACAAAGAAATTGAGATATAATATGTAATCCCTGTCTTAGACTGGATAGGACAACTATCCTCTGTGCTTGTTCTTATTGCAGTCTGCTCATATACAAATATTTTAATCAAAAAAAAAAAAAAAATCCCTTGAGATGAAGTTAAAACAACAAAAAAGAACAAATTAATCCTAGAAGGCTAACAAAGAAAATGTATCCCTGCTAGTCAAACCCTTTGACTTCAAAAAGGACCATAACAAACAATAAAGGAAAAACAAGAAGGCAGAAAGGTGGACTATTCAAATGAAAATTTTTACCTACTGGTTCAGATATATACACAGTAATACTTCAGTAAAAATTTCAGACAGATCATCTACAGTCAATACAACTTACTGGATGAGGACATGATGATTGACGGATCAAGATACCCTGATAATACTGCAGAAATCAGTTTGATCTCATTTACTTTAGACAGTGAGCTATCAAGGCAGAATTTTTCAGCTGAATCAGCAGGGATTACAAGTGCCAAACACTTATCGGTTTCCACTTGGTCCTGCAACACAGTATTTTTGCACAAGTTATGGGTGGCCAGGTGGGTATGGGATCCTTCATTGGTGATAAAATAAAATTTTTAAAGCGCTAAACACCACAACATACCTGGATATTATTATCAAAATCAGTTATTGAAAGAACTTTTGCACCAGCAAACTCCAACAATGATTGCACCCTATCTTTAAATCTATACTGCAAAAGAAAATCAAATGGAAATTGAAAAACAATAGGCACTTATAAATTACTTGACATGTAACAAATTAGCACTGAGTTACCCATCTAAAGTACCCGCAAGTCAAGAACATTTCAGAAGCTCCCATCTAAAGTACCCACAAGTCAGGAAGGTCTGAAAAGCACCACTTATAAAGACTAGTGGGGTTCCATGAAGAATTTTTGGCTCTAAACTCTTAGGCTTGACAATTCTAAAGATCAAGAAGTTTCCTTACTGCTTATAATGAAGCCCGGTTCTTTGGAGGGTCTAGTTATAGTAGGTGAGGCATAAATAGTATTATGGTTGAGGTCTATGGAACATAAAAATTGAGGCCTAATGAGTAGCATGAGAAGAATTATTACTTACTTTGCCCGCGCTGGGGCTATTATAGTTCTGCTAGCAAAGTCAAACCTGAAGGAGTTTTGCTTCCCCCATCCACCATGCCTAGCGATTTCATTTTTTTCTTTCAAAGATTTTAGATATCTTGGTTCATTTCTGTAAGGGACAACACTCATTTACTAATTTCTAACTTTATTTTGTATTAGATGAATTTGATCAGGACCATTCAGTTGCGGTCTAAAGGTTGTTAGGAGAAGCTAAATAGGGTAATGTTAGCACCTATAAAGGAGTAAGACAAACTTTGAAATCACAAAAAATTTCCTATTATCATTCAATGAAAATTTCCGTCTCTTATTGCATCTTTGTGACCGTGAGCTACCTAATCCAAATGATTTTCTCAATCTTAAGATTGAAACTCTTGATGTCAATAAAATTAGTGATCAATAAGCTTTCCAAAGAAAAAAAAATCTCAAATCCCCTAAAAACAAAGAAAAAGTAAGTACCTTTATAATATACTGAAATTACTGATTATTTGTTGATGATGACATGTCACTACCTAACGCCGAATTTTTTTTCTCCTAATACTGATGACTTACATTATATATAATTTTTTACCCCTGCTCCCTAGCATTTTGTAAGGGGTTTAAAGTTCTTCAGAGCTATTTTCTACTAACATTTCCTCTTTTTAGTGTTGCTTTTTTTTAAAAGTTGATTTATATAGGATTTGGAGGCTTTTCTCCGGATTTCTACTACTTTGGACAATTCTTGGAGAATTTGTGGGATTTGCGAGGCTAAGTATGGAGTACTTGCTGTTCAGAGTTTGATTTGAGCTACTAGATGCTATCAACAAAGTTCTATTGTTTGGACGCTCATGAATGAAGTGCAAAATCTGACTGTTGTGCACTCTTTTGGTCATAACTTTTGAGTCACAATTGATAATGAGATAATTCCAGTTGGGTTAGATGCTAAACTTGAAGAATGTTCCAACGATAGCTTACGCATTAAATTCTGAAGAGAAATGACAAATTCATGGAATGTTTTGATGGAAGCCACCTAATTCAGGCAAGGTTGCTAGAGGGAGGCCAAGCAAGACGTCGCACTAGCCATGTGAAGCTAGGAGAGTACTACTTTATGCTCCCAACCACCTGATTGGGTGAGCGCCCAGGGCCCAAGTCTTGGGAGCTCGATGCTTTTGATTTCTTTGAAGCAGCGTTCGAAAGCAATGCGCGCCCGATCGGGCAACGTGGCCCAGCACCATAGCGCGAATGTCCGGGGCCCTAAGCCCACTTGTTTTAGGTCGGGTTTTATTTCTCATTTTAGCTCTCCTATAAATAGGGTAAGGAAAATTTATGTAATTAAGCTTTGATTGGGTACTTTAATTAATTACTTTTTCAGATTCTTTGTTCTTCAATTGTTTGTTTTCAATTTCCAATCATTATTGGGGGTAATCATGTTTTCCTTAGTTCCTACTGTATTGGTTGCTCTAATTACGTGGGAGTAGTTTCATACTAAGGCTAGGGAATTTATGAATGGATAGAGTTAATGTCTTGTTGAATTGAATTTGAATTAGTATATGAATTATGATATCTCCCTACTATTTGCTATTATTAATCAATTAGTTGAGCAATGACCATATTTGATTGATTATGCTTGTAAACACCAAGTTAAGCGACGAGAGGTAGAAACATCGTGTTAGACTTGCGATAATAGGTGGAATGAATTTATTAAATTGCGAACCTACTAGACAATGATATTATATAGGAAATAATTGATTCGAGAGATTTTATTGACCTATATAATTTGATATTATATATTTCTCAGGATTTTTGAAAAATTACACATGCCTTAATTTAATTGTTTTAATTATCTCTAACAATTGTTTTATGCTCCAATCACCCCACTTACAATTATATTAATCAATTAAACTACCTAATATAATGTGCCTCTCACAATGTAATACTTGTAAGAAAAACGGAGGGAGTATAGATGGGTGAAGTAGTGAAGCCTTATCATAGAATTGGTTCCTTGAATTCGTGCATTTAATTACACATCAATATTAATCAAAATTCTATAATGCAGTGTTCATAAGGTAATCACCTTATTTGCAGAACCCAACACAAAAGTGTATCCTTTTAAGCAATTTTCACGAGTCCTAGTATCTGCTATCGATACTGATTCACCATCCAAAGTCAATGTTGGAATGTATCTGTCACCACCGGGTCAATGTTCAACAATCAATTTGATTTAATTGGACCTAAAGTCCTAAACCACATAAAAGCCACCATATATATAAACACAATCAGGCAGACAATTCAACACTTACTGACTGTAACTTGGAATTTCATTGTGTATCCTAGTTCCTGCAATGATCTGCAAAAGGAGTTCCAACAAAAACAAAGACGAGTACAGATTTAAGTTACATCATAATTTATAATCTTCTTTTTCAGCAGAACTTCATGCACTAATCAAATCACACACACACACACAAAAAAAAAAAAAAAAAAAAAAAAAAAAAAAAAAAAAAAAAAAAGGTAATGGTAATGGTAATGCCTTTGAATGTACTAGTCTCTCGTAATATCAAGTAATCCATTTGACTCAAATTACAGATTTAACCGGATTATAAAACAACATTATCCTGAGAGGATACTACACTCAAGAGCTGAGTTATACGCTACAAGGATAAGTTTATATACTGGGATGCAATGGCTAAGGGTAATAAACATAATGTAGCTACTAAGAGATAGGATGATGGTTATAACTCCAGCTATTCTCTGATAGAAAATTTGGCATGCTTCAATTGGACATATTAGAAGGGGGATGCAGACAGCTTCAGTGCTGGGGAAGAGAGGAGTCAAAAGTTAAAAGTTCTAAGTTGATTTTATAGAATACAATCAGCCAATCACAAGTTATAACTTCCTCAAAAACTTTTGTATACATCCGGTTTACACTAATATTAGTGTACATCGAGCAGTATAAGGGTAACTTTTAGCTAATTTTAGGGTAACTTTTTGCCTGTTTTTGGGTAACTTTAAACATAATACAATTTTTATATAAATAGACAACAAGAAAAGTTTTATAAAGGTAATTTAATTACATTCAATCACTAATAATTGATTTTTAGTCATTTAAAATGTGATTCGTTACTAATAAAGTGTAGATAGTTTTTATTTGAATTAGGTTACTTTTACGCATATTGGAGTAACTTTTATTCATTTCAAAGGTAACTTTTAATCACTTTAAGCTATCTTTATAATGGATGTATAATAATTATTGTACACCCGGTTTTTTTTTTAAAGTTTGTATAACTTCCTCTGCCCTACAATGATTGTCATAAATTTCAAACTAGGATGTCTTAAATAATCATCAAGTTCCTACTGGTAACAAAAACATGTTAGATTTTGTGAACAAACTACCTTTTACTTGTCCACTTTTGTGAAAGCTAACTCCTCTGTTTCTTTTAGTTAATCCTGTTTTGAATAATTATAGATTCTAATGCAAATGGAATCTAAAACTCTCAATAAATAAATAAGAAAAAGGAAACACACGCATGTGAGACCTTGTTTGATTCGTCTTGATGTGTAGTTTCCACAATACCAACTATAGGTAACTGCCAAAAAAAAAAAAAAAAAAAAAAATAGAGACAGAGAGAGAGAGAGAGCATGCCTCCAGCCAAGTACTTAGTATAACAGGTTTCTTAGCCAGAACGATATCAATTACTTCCTCGGTAACAGGCATGAATGGATCCACAAGTACATGTGTGCATTCCTTAGTCCACTCACGTGAAACACAAGCACCTAAAAGAGAAACAAATAAGTCAATCATGACGCATATGGCCCAAGAACACCTGTCAATTGACCATGCCTAACCACAGATCATATGAACCAATATATATATAACTAGGCTAATTAAAATACTTATAGTTTGAAGGCAAACAATCTATCCATGCAAAAAGGAGCATTTTAGGAGCATGAAAAGCGCCACATAAGTGTGCTATGTAACAAAGCATTATTTACAAAAAGAAATAAAAAACACAGAAGTAGAGTTTGATGTTTAAAAATAGACTTTATGATAAATAAAAGCAAGTGTTTGATTTTTTAATAAACCATTATAGATAAAATTTGTAAATTGAATATAACTTTAAAATATTATATTTTACATACAATTAACAAAGCCTTGAAAAATTATTTGAGAAAGCATTACAGGAGATCGAAGTATAGCGAAGAGGAGATGTGGTAGGAACTCTAAGCAAAATTTCATAAGTCGCACTCATACGAACCTAAACATGATCAGGATCACGTTTGATGTGCGAAGTTTCATCTTTGTGCCCGACGAGTTGAGGACTAAGTTGGAAAAGACAATAGCTTAGAATTAACCTTTGATGTGTGGATTCCACTTTGCAAATTTGCCTCTATAGGAGTTCTAGAGCCGCAAACGATGCTCCTCTACGATCAGTCTACCGGCTTGAATAAATCCTCCACTAATGCTTGTTGGGCGGGAAAAACCTTACCTCTTTCTTGGAGTATATTCAGCCATGTAGAGAGAAAGTTGAGCGGGGGTAGATTACGTTATATCTTTAGGAGAGACGTACTATATACTTTATTTTCCAAGGCTCTAAATAATATAATCAATATTATACTAATTAGGTCAAGCTCTCCCCTCTTTCCTTCTATTTGGCAAGCCACCCTAAGTCACTTAATTGGCTTCGAGTTTCTTTATTTGACCCAAACGTTATGTGTGACCTTATAGGATCCATTTAGGTGGGCTTCATGTTTGCTTTATTTTAGCCCAAATGTCAATATTACACTCAAAAGATATATTGACGACCCAACTTGACAAACTATTATCACTATAATTCGAGCCATATTATATTTAGTAATTACACGCGAGTCGATGACACAATTCATCCTATCTCCCATTTGTTCGAGACAAGTGTATAATCTTCAAATATCTTAAGTCTCATAGTGTCTAATTTGATAGAATGAATTTATGTCATCCATACTAGTGCTCAAATTATTTCTTGAAATCCGAGTCGAAATGTCAAATCAAATAATTAGCTTATAATCCATTAAAGCACGATCATGCATTTTTAGGTCTAACTCTCTTCAAAAGGTCAAGACACTCATCCTATTGAACAAAGGAGTATCTATCCATTCTCGTGGTAATCAAAACTCCCACTCACCTTTTAGCAAAACCCGAAAACTGCCTTTATGGTCCCCTTTTATGGCAAAACGTTAGATTGCATCAAAGTTATACCAATCATTAAGCTAAGATAGTGTTCCACTCATGCCTTTAGAATCCACTAAAATAATTGTAAAGTTTCTATAGAAGTTCTAAGTAGGGCTTTTCGATCATATATCAACCATACATATCGATAAGACTGACTGAACATCATGAAACCGCCCTATAATCCAATCTTATACGCTAACCCTTTTCAATAGGCCATTTATGTCCATTTTAAAATGTAATGCAAGAACATTCTAAAATATAGAATCAATTAGCAAGAAAATGGGTATAAAACGGAGACCCTAAGGAACTGGTGGAAGAGTGGGATCATGGAGAGCTTAAACGAGGTAGAGGAAGACTGAAAATGACTTGGTTAGAAGGAATTCGAAAGGATATAAAGCAAAAGGATTTGCATGAGAATGAGGTATTTATGTAAGGGATGGAGGAAGAAGATCTTTGTGGATGGCTTTATGGAATAATTAGTTTTGGTTCATGTTATGGATTAAGAATTTGATTGATTGACTGATATAAAAACTAGGATTAGGAACTCAAATATTCCATGAATTCAGTTCACTTATGAGATTTCTTTTATCATAGCACATATATGACATATTTGACAAACCCATTGAATTTCATAAAATCTTTTGGAAATTTTATTTAATACTAAACCATGATTAAATAAGAGGAATTTATTTCATATAAACATAAATAACAAAACCATGTCTTTACATTGTAATTTATTTGACAAATCATGAATTTGACAAACCAAACCCATTGAATTATTTATCAAATCGTGTATTTAACAAACCAAACTCATTGAATTTCATAAAATATTTTGGACATTTTATTTATGTACTAAAACCAGAATTAATCAAGAGGTCTTTTGTTTCGTATAAACATAAATCAATAAAGCATGTCTTTACAAGTTTCTCTAAACAGAATAAAATTAGATGAAGCCCATGTAATGCACGATTTATTTGTATTTTATGTATCAATTTTTTTTGTATTTATTTGATAAATTTGTTATTTTGTTCGTTATATGTTGTATATCATTTAATATTTTTATTTTAAAATAAATTGTGAATTTCCTATAAAATTTCTAATCTCAAAACATAATATTGTGTATTTAATTAATTTAAACTCTAAAAAATCATTTGTCAATTTTGCTTATATGGCATTTGAATTATTTAATTCTATAAGAAATTACAAAGATCTTATTTAATTAGCTAAAACTAAAATTCATAATCTAGCGCGTTAAGAAAAAACTCCCATTTATTTACATATATTAGATTTAAACCCATTCTAACAATAATGTATTCCATTTTTAACTTAATTTATTTTTCTTCTTATTTTACCCATAATGAATACATTCAAAGCTTATAAAATGAAGGTAGATTAGCTAACAAAATGTCAAAAGAATTCTGATTGGTGAAATTAATTGATTGTGGATTGATGTATGGCTTCAAGTAAGGAAATCCCTCATTCACTCACTTCAATTATGCAACTATGGCTATGCTTTCCCAAAATAATTACAAATTTAAATAAGGCAAAACTAAATATGAACTTTTTTTTTCTCTTCAAAAAAAATATTATGAACAGTTTTTGTACTTTAATGTTAGATTCCAAATATTTTTATTTTACGTGATTGATTCCATATGGAACTATCATACGGAAATGGAAGAAACAACTTTTATTATTTTTCTTTTGTTTGTAGTTACATGGGCATTTTTGTGATTTAATTTCTTCCTTAATCTTTGTGCCCAACCAAAATGGTGCAATAAATAAAAAATAATAATAAATAAAAAAACGAAAGAAAAATGTATTATGTCACCAGAAATTTATTAATGGTTTGTACGTGCCCGACAATTCTGTACAAATCTATAACATAAACAGCAAGAAACAATGCCGGATGATTTGAACCCTACCTATCTAAGGCATTGTTGGATGGATCATATAAACCAAAAGCGCGTGCAAAAGTTGCAAAAGAATGGAATCCTAACATCATTTGATTATAAGTCTTTGAAGTATGTGAATCATGCTTATCGGGGAAATAACAAAATCGTCTTTTATAGAAAAGGGCGAAAGGGCTAATGACCTCTTGGCACTCATACATACAAATGTTTGTTGGCCTATGAGTTAAAAGGCGAGAGGTAGGTTTAGTTACTTCATCACTATTAGTGATGATTTAAGTCGATATGGCTATATCTACTTAATGAAACATAAATCGGAATCCCTTTAAAAGTTTAAGGAGTTCCAAAATGAAGTACATAATTAACTTGGTAAGGCAATAAAAGCATTACGATCTAATCATAGTGGAGAATATTTGATCCACGAATTCGATAATAATATAAAGAATGATTTAATGCTTTCATAGTTTACTCTACCGGAACACCACAAATGAATTAGCGTGCCTAAAACCTTTTCTTGACAAGTTTATTTTGATAAATCAAAGCACTTTCACCCCAAGGTGTTTGATTACAGTCAATATTACTTATAGACTTTGAGTTATGTCATTATATGAAAATCTCACGCAACAGAGGGTTGTATGGCTATGAAGCTAGGCATATCGAAGGCATATGTTAGCATTGAATGAAAAATTTGGAGGTGGTGTTCAATTAATTTAGGGTTTAATCTAGAATGGTGTAGAAGGGTTATGGACTCCATAAGATCAATGACATTTTAGGTCTTAATTCATGGGAGGCTGGCTGAAGACTTCTCTAGTATAGGGAGGAGGAAACCCATCTCGTTATATTTGTTCTTTTTATGATCTGAGGTTCTTTTAAGCTTGTTAAAAATCGGAGGAATGCAACTGTCTTCATAGTATTAAAATTGCATCCAAGAGATATTGATTAAGTAGTGGTCTCTCTAAAGATACATGATCCTGGGAATTGGAGAACTATGGCATTTATTCTGTAAAGTCAGCATACAGGGCTCTCTTGGATGACAATTAAAGGTGCGCACGTCATGAAAATGGGAGTCTGCAATTGATGATCTTAAGGAGAAATCACCAAATGGTTTGCCTACCTGACATTTCTAACCATAATATCTAAAATAGGCATGGCAACTTGGCAGATATGAGTAAGACAATGAAAGCAGTGGAGCAGGTAGATTTTAGAAGTTATAACCAACATAGGCAGAAGAGCAATTACAGGTTTGAAAATGTACCCAACCCTTACCCACCCTATAAGGCTTATCATTACACCAATGATTTCAAAATAGTTATAAAATTAAAAAATTAAACTACCACATGAAGATTTTTGAAAAAAGGGGGGGAAAATAAAAACAAAAGCATCTGAAAATGCGGTTGCACTTAGTCAATCATTTCAAGTTTGATGGGAAATTAGAATGAACACATGCAAAACACTGCAGAGGTACAGAGGATAGAGCTAAATGCTATTTCTTTTAAAATCATGAAGAAGGGAAGCCAACATGGAGAAAATAATGACTATAAGGATAACACTAACCTATAGATGATATTTTATCTTGTGTAAAAGGAGTTCTTTGGGAGCTTGTGAAATTGCAAAGGTAGAAATTTAGTGGGACATAAGAAAATCTGCAAAAATATTAGCAAGAGAGCAAGAGCAGTCAGTGCATCAAGAAAGATTGATTTCATGGGGCCACAAACCAATGGAATCACAAAACAAGTAAAGGAAGAGTGTTAACAGGATTTTAATTACAGACAACAGAAAGATTGTCAGCTTCAAACAGAAAGCAAGTACACATAAATCAACTAACACTAAATAAATAAATAAAATAAAAGAAAGATCAACTTCCTATGAGGATTTAAGTGTCTTCATAGCAGTGACTTTGACAATGAAAAACAGCCAAACTACCACAGCATAGCAAAAAAAGTTAATGGTGGTTAAAGGTTATTCTGGACACCAGGTTGCCTTAGTTCAATGCAGCAGAGATCAAAGTGTGCATCAGAGAGCCTATGACTTTTAGAGATTACTACAAACAACAAGAGGAAAAAGAAAAAAAAAAAAATAGAATGACCATATTGACCAGTACCTGTATGTTAGATCTCCTGAGCCAAATTTGACCAAATCCCCATCTTTCAAATATATTTCTTTGCCTGGAGAATCATGAACTTTTTCTTTTCTGCCAGAATCTTTCACAATAAATGTTCCATACTTCGAGCAATCTCTTATCCTAACTTTGGAGGAGACACTAGATGATCTTTTGTCAAAAGGTTTCAAAGATTCCATTATATCTACAATGATCTCAGCATGTATACGTGAAACACCTTTATCATTTGCTATATTCACATCACAACCTAAAAGGGTCAAATAAACAGATATTAAGATGATGAGGCCAAAGAGCTAAGTCATTGATTGGACTTCTAAAAAAACGCATCTGATAAATTCAGAAGATAAACACATTTTCTACCTACCATGCACAAACCAAAAACACAGATCTGAACTGTGATGCAACTGAACTTGTAAGTGTTAGGTCTAAGCAGAAAATGGAGATATCATGTTAACAACTACCCAGGAAAGAAGATGACGATAGAAACCCGCATACCTAAAATCCCATATAAATAAATTTTATCAAGGTCCTTACAAAAGCATCAGCTAGTCACCACACTAAACATAAAGAGGCCAGGTGTAGGCAGACAATATACAGATGAACAGACCATACTTGCACAGGACAGAAATACAGAGAGGACAACTTAACGCTTGTGTACGAACTTTAATCATCAGATAAAGCGTAGATCTTCTACTGTGAGAAATGCCGTAAAAAAAATGTTGGGCCAGCAAACAGGCAGCATATATTAACAATTATAGCTAAAATTCAGATTTTTAGATAACAGCCTCCGGCACTACTAGCATCAGAAACCTATTCACTAGAAATACATAAATAAATAAATAAAAAAGAGCATCATTCTAATGGTATATTTCCAGCTTGCCAGGAACGTAAACTCCGTAAACCCAGCTCATGACTGTTTACAACCCAGAATTACCAAATTCACTCCCTCTACATAGTCTACAAACCAATGTTACACAAGTGAGTGAAATAATTTGTGGAACATCTTACATGATACAGTGGTACACTTTTGGACTAGTCTAAGTCTAACTACTGAGGTAAAATATTATGTTCCCATACCCCTTACGCATACCAAAGCAAAAGGAGGCAATATATACTACTCCAATTAAACTTCTGCTGCCACAACGAGGACAAGAGCAAAGATGACTGACCACGTGAAAAAAAAAAAAAAAAAAAGGTCCAGTCTACTTACATAGATTAAATTTGCTATCCCATGAGCAAAGTACAAGTATTGGGATAATAGTATATAAATTATATACATGGATCTAGAAGGCATTACATAAAATAAAATTGACACCAAAAAGTTATTTTTTTGGTCTGGGCCACAATCTTCCAATAGCATTCATTTAATTCATTAACTAGATTATTCTTGGTAAAATTACATTCAAGATATTGAAATGTTGTATCCTTTAACCCATGTCCAAACTTTGGACAGTGTCTTTGTGCTGCAATTTGAGCCTTCATAAATTTGACATTTCCACATTCACCACAATAACACGCAAACCTATGTCTAAATAACACAAGATGCAATAAATATTTCTAGAAATACCTTTTCTGCCCACTTTGTATGTTCCCTTTGTGTATATATAGTACTTCTCCTCCCCTATAACATAAATTTGGCAAGAACAATTTGTTAGAAAAATATCATCATATATTCAAATGTAGATAAAATCTTTTGGTCTCTGCCTTTTTTTGTCACATGCCAGATAAAAACATGAGAAGAGTAATGACTTATACTGAGGGAATTCAATGTACTATTTTAAAATGATTTTTAAATAAAAAGTATTCCTTCAGATATCTATTGCTTTGTGAGAGAGCCAGCAAAAGCTTAATCAAGGGAAGAATGCACTATTATTCCAAAGGAGCATTTTCTTTTCTCAAATTTATGTTCAATGATTGTGCCATAATATTTAAGTATTCAGATAAGTGAGATATATTCATCTAAGATTTTTTCACTTATCTGAATTTTAGAACTTAATTGTCCTTATCTAAACTTACCTGAATTTATTAGAACTTATTTTAGCTGCGAGCTAAATTTGAGTAACCCTTAATAAGCAATACCAAAACTTACCTAAACTAATTTTTCCTAAACTTATTAACCCTTGTATGAACCTATTCTAGTCTTAATGTGAACCTATTATCCTTAGTTCAAAAAAAAAACAACACACACACAAACACATATGAGCTTATTATCCTAAAATAAGTGAAACAAAGGTGAACAAACCAAGGCCTAAAAATTCTACTTTCTATTTTCTATTTCATCAAAGCGTAGCAATAATTGAAGCACCCCGCACCATCAAACCAAATACACTAGGAAGAAAAATAAAGCAGTGTAATAAAGGCTTCGTTTTTAATAAACCAAGCTTACTTTCTCATATGGAATTTAAAATCTCTCTTTTTCACAACAAGAAAATGAATATAAAGATTAACAGCAAAGCAATGAGAGTGTAATAGGAAAGGCGGTACATATTCCAAAACATCTATCACATATCAATTAAAATCCTCCTATTCTCCAAACCCAAACAACTCTTGAAATCCCCGGTTAGAACTAGAACATATTGATTCCACTACATCCTTTGCTTCACAGAATGTCCCTCGGCGCGGTCAGACAAGTGCCATTAACCATTGGAAATCACTTCAAAGTGAGTATATGAATCAACACGTGCAAATACAATTTTATCCGGAGAAATGCTAATCGTCTTATCCTTGATAAATGGCAAGCAAATAGTTGTTTAAAACTTCTAATTAGTATTTAATTGAAAATTAAACATCTTAAACAAAATTCAAATTCCAGAATCAGTATATAGTCAAAGAAAATCAACAAAACAAGTCTATGATGCTCATTAATTCCTTAAAAATTACAACTTTCGAACAAACAACTAATGAAATTACTAACATAAACCCTATTTAACAAAAGCCGAATAAATTAACAGCATATAGATGAATTTAAGGGCAGAATCATAAACCTGAAAGTGGGTTAACAGGAAAGAACCCCCAAACCATTTCTTCCGATGAATTTCTTCAAATTGGGAGAAAAATTGCCGCGAATTCCTTCAACAATGTCTAAGTTCCAAGCGCTATTTCGTACTCTGTATTAAAGTGTCATGCCAAATCATAAAGTGTTAATTTCAAATTTTACTACACTACTCCCACTTCATAGTGTCTCCCTCTTAGTTAAAAAAGAAAAAAAATAATAATAAAACTAGTAATCCTATTTTTTACGGGTCGGCTCAAAATAATCATCCTTTTGAATAATCTAGAAAAAATCCGACCTTTAACATCAATATTCTTAAAACAAGACCATTAATGACAAGCTAATTGTCAAACTAGCTTACTATGCCACATAATCTTTTATGCTAATTGTCATTTTACCTATAATGGATTAATGGCTAGCTAATAACTTACTATTTAAATGGATCACACCTCCTTAATTATTTGAATAATCTAGAAAAATTCTAACCTTTAACATCAATATTCTTAAAACAAGACCATTAATGGCAAGCTAATTGTCAAACTAGCTTACTATGCCACATAATCTTTTATGCTAATTGTCATTTTACCTATAATGGATTAATGGCTAGCTAATAACTTACTATTTAAATGGATCACACCTCCTTAATTTACGTCGATAAATTTCATTTTATTTATTCTAATTTGTTTTATTTTAGAAAGTTTTTTTCCAACCGAACTAGCTTGACAAAGCTAGTTTGCTTGGGAAGCTAATTGCATTTTCTAGCTCCAAAGTAGCTAGAGATTATTTAATATTGCAAACAAGTCCCTATTTATAACCATTGGTGTTGCTCCTACATGTTGGGACTTATTAACCTATTTAGCGATTAAATTTGACACGTGTTATTTCTTAATTGGCTATATGGCTTTTTAATTATAAAAAAAAAAAAAGTAAAATCAAATTTTTGTCCTTCCTCTCCTGTTTCTCCTCCCCCGTCACAACCACCATAGCAGCACCTACACCCTGCTCCTCCTCACATCAAGCACACCAAACACTCCCTCTCGCACTTCTCACCACCTCTTTCGTAACAACATAGCCACCAATTTGGTCTAAATCTTATGGAACTTCGTTCATCAACACAAATCACGAGCATCATTATCGTTAACAAATCATAGCCACCAATCAGGTCAATTGTTTAATTGTAGCCAAACGATTTCATCACCTTCTTTAAAAATAGTTTGGTCAATTGTTTAATTGTGGGTGTTTTGATGGTGGCTGCCATTTTGGTGGTGAGTGTTGTGGGCGGCTTGGATTATTGTGGGTTGGTATTGTTGTTGTGTTGTGTAGCAGGGGCAATAAGGAAATGACGTGAAAATGGTGAGGTAAGTGTTGGGTACTTGGGTGGTGGGTGATGATGTTGTTAATTAAATCTCATTTGTCTCTGCTACAATAATGTTCTAAGAAGAACTTCATTTGGTTGGGGACCATTTATTTGATAACTAGATCAGCTTATGTGTGATGCACGGATATAGTGAAAAAAAGAGCTATATAAAACAACACTCCATTAAAAAAAAACATAAATTAATATTCCATTGGATAAATGGTTGTCAAAAGGTTTATAAAAAAAAATTGTGAAGAGGTATTTGTATAGTATACTGTATTAAATTATTTTAAAGCCAATATTTAGTTTTTTGCATTAAAAAAATGTAAAAGAGAAAAAAAAAAGTTTTGGTGGGAAAAATTAAAGGAGAAGCTGACACGTGTACAATATGGATAAATGAATGATGCCAGCGGTTGCTACATACTTTAGTATTAGTTATAGATGAGTCAAAGCTAATGAATTGTAGGCTTCTGCTTACAACATTTTTAATCTTTAATCTTACATTTAGTCAGTAGTTAAGTTTAACATTTGTTAGAATTCAGGCGCATTAGTGGGATGTTCATGCGAACCCAATTCATGCCTTGAATTACTTTGCTTTGGATGTTGCTTGAAGCTTGGATTGTTGCGAGTTGTTGTTGGGCGAGGTAACGAGGGAGAAGCAGTTTGATGAATCACATTTATATAGGATTTATAGGCACGTTTATGCTAAATTTATAGTTGCTTTTTACGTCTTTTAGTCGCTTTTTAGGTCGTAAATACATAAATTGTTTGTTTTGTACTCTATTACGCTTCGTTTGTGTTTTCTTAATGTTTCAGGTAGTTTCCATAACTATTTAGACGCTTTCGGAGTGGTTTTGGAAGAAACGGACAATAAAAGAATGAAAAGTTGATGAATTGATGTCGCTCAATGAAGGATATGCATTTGTGAAAGCTTAGTATGAGATTAATATGTATGAGAAATGAAAATAGCATCCACAAGGGTTTTTATGCACTTTACGGAAATGAATTTGAGTTAGAAACGAAGAAAAACGGGTGATGGATCGGGTGATGGATCGGGTCGGATTTGTGTGGTGGTTAATTCCATCCATCACCCATCCATCCATCCGTTTAGTATTATAAATATTCTTATTTTTTAAAAATAAATACAAAAAACTTATACATACATAATATTTGCATATTAGAATTTGTATGGTACGATTATATTTATTTTTTATATTAATATTTGACATATCACAATTATTTTACAATAATTATTTTAATATTAAAGGGTCAAAATAGATTTCTCAAGTTTTTTTTTATCTAAAATTAATTTTTATTCACCCACCTATTTACCACCCGGCCCATCCGTTTCACCCGCGGATGATGGATGGATGGATTTCGGGTGATGTATTATGCGGGTGACGAATGGCTCGGGTGAAACGGATGGATGAGGGTGACGAATGCGGGTGGAGCTCCACCCGATCTGAACCCGATCCATTTCCTTCCCTACCCCAGACCATGGCGGCTCAAACTCTTTTTCTTCACCCAACACCGCGGCTCTGTCGCCTCAACCATCGCCTACCCCCTCCGACCAACCGCAGCAGCGCAACCCCACCTCAAGAACACCCACGAAACTCCCTTCCCTTTCCTTCTCGTGCCTCTTTCTCTCTCCTCCGCTGACGAACACCCACGATTACATGAACACCCACGCTGAAGAACACCCACGAACATCCACGAACACCCACCAAATTCTCAACGTCGACCTCATCTTCAACCTCCAGACCCAATCCACGCCTGTGACGACCTTTAAGGTGGTCAAATTCAAGGTTGGGCTCTCGTTTTGGGGTTGGGGAGGGCTGGTTGGGCGGTTTCAGGGGTTGGGGTGGGTGGTAGAGGCCGACCGATTTCCGGTGAGATCTAGGGTTGTGGTTAGGGTTCCGGCGAGGTGTGGTGATGGGGGAGAGAGTGGCTGGCATTTTGGGTTTTTTTTTTATGGATTTTATTATATTTTTTAAAAAAATTGACCAATCACGTGTTGACACGTGTCATGGTACCTGTTATAATAGGTCATTGACTCTGTGTTTACCGGTTGGGACTGCTGGAGGGAAACTCAGGGCATAGTTGGGATTATTAGAAAATAAACGTGAGTTGGGATTATTGTAGGTAAATCGTCCATAGTTGGGATTATTAAAGTGTATTTTTCCTTCTTTTTTTTTGGGAAAGGAATTTATGGATTTTTTTCCATGTTAATTTGAACTAATTTTTATCCCGTGCAATACACAGTTGAATTCAATTTTTAAATATATAAGTATATACTATATTATTAATACATAAAATATTTAGTATTATCAAATATAAATAACTTAAATTCATAAACTATACTCCGTATCTTGTTCATTTAAAAAGAAGAGTGATGTAAATCATATATAATGATTTGGATGCTTAAGGAAAATCGAGAAATTAAACAAATATTAAAACTTAAATAGGGTTAATGGCACCCTTCGGAAAAAAAATAAAAATAAATAAAGGGTTAATGCAATTTTTTTAAAAAAAAAATTAGAATATGACATGTGAAGCTTATATTTATCGGTCATGGTTATGAATAATGTAAAATAAATTTTTTGAAACAATGTTAGATGATGAGTTTTGGTTCATTAAAATTGGGGTGTGAAGCTAATAAAGTTAAAATGGAAAGATTTGATGGATTAAATATAAAAGGGAAATGGCATAATTAACTATGTAAATGATTGGAAAGGGGAAGTTGAAGGTAAAAAGCAAATAATTTTTTTTTCCAATGTCAAAAAAAAAAAATTAAAAATAAAAAAGGAATATTTTATATGGTGACATGTGGCAGTTTGTATGACTTGCAAATTTTCATGTAATTAAATATTAGCATAGAATTGTAGTAGTTATTTGAAACTTATTATTTTTTTTTTAAAAAGGATATTTTAGATTTTAACATCTCATAAAAACCTGAAAACAGTTTTTAACACCTCCATAAAAAAAAATTTATTTTAACACCAAACAAATTTCCAAAAAATGGGTATTACCATCACTTAACCAAACAAAGGTCCTTAGCTCGACCCTTCCTCCAAATCATGGAGGGTCAAAGGGCACCACCTTACTCAAAAGTGGAGGAAAGTAAAAATTTCTCTTCAATTTGTAGCAACTCCTCGTTGTTGCTTGATGAAACCTCATTTGCTTGAACTTCAAAAACAACCTTCTCATTCTTCAACTTCAATCTCATCCGCTTCTTCCTAGAAGCCCTTGCCTTATTTTTGGCCTTGTTCCTTCTTGTAGACGGGTTAACACCATCCACTTCCTTGGAACCATCCTCCTCATCTTGAGGACAAAGCTCAAACCAATGTGGAATGTCAATTACCTCTTCGTCCTTGGCCTTTGAAAGCTTTTCTTCTTCACTAACTTTCATGCCATCAAACTTCACAAGCACATCATCAAAAATCTCATGAACATGGTTAGTTGAAGAATTAATCACACACACATTATACAATGAACGAAGGGAATTATCATTCATGACTCCCCTTCACAAAAGACAAGGATTCATGCATTGTTTTTAGCTTAAAACTTTCTTTTTCATTACCAACTCTCAAAGTGATATGGCCTCCCTTAACATCTATTAGAGCACCCGAAGTAGCTAAGAACGGTCTCCCTAGAATAATAGGAATGTGGTCATTCTCCTCAATTTTTAGCACAATAAAATCTACGGGAATTGTGAAACAACCTATCCTAAGGGGAACATCTTCAACTCTTCCTTTTGGGAACTTAATAGATCTATCGGCCAATTGCAAGGTCATGTTCGTAGGAAGAAGTTCTCCTAGCTTAAGCGAACACCGAGTAAGGCATAATGCTAACACTAGCACCTAAGTCACACAAAGCATTTTCAAACAACTTACTCTTGATCTTGCAAAGAATAGAGAAATTTCCCGGATCTTTCATCTTCTTTGGTAGGTCATTGTGAATCAATGCACTACAACACTCACCAAGCTCTACCGAATCTATCTCATTGCACTCTCTCTTGCCACTTAAAATATCCTTAAGGAATTTGGAATATCTAGGCATTTGGGTCATATCTTCGGTGAGAGGGATAGAAAGATGGGCCTCCTTCAACATGTCAAGAAATCTCCCAAATTGTTCATATAACTTGTTCCTCATAAACTTTTGGGGATATGGAAGGTCGGGTTTTCTCACTTCCTCTTGCACTCTCTCAACACTCTTCTTTTTCTCATGGACTTCCTCTTTGCTCACACTCTTTGACACATCTTTCTCTTTGTCCTCACTTGAGTCACAATCACTCTTCCTCTCATCCTTCTCACTATTCCTAGAAACTCTCTCTTCAAGCACTTTTCCACTCCTTGTGGTGATAGAATAAACGGGTTTCTTAGGATCAACTCCTTGAGAGGGTAGTGAATAAGGGCTAGCACAATCTTTTAAAGTGTTGGCTAGTTGAGTGATTTGGGTTTCAAGCATCTTGTTGTGTGCCATCGTCTCATTAAACTTCTTATCACTCATCGACATGTAGGTGTTCAAAATCTTGGTTTGGTTCTCAATGATCTCCTCTAAGGTAGTCTTGGAAGATGGGGGTTGAGGATAAGAATTATCACCATTTTCTTGAGGTCTTGGAGCAAATCCGGGTGGGGGTCCCCTTTGGTTGTTGTTTTGAAAATTTCCCCTATTTTGATTGTTCTAATTACCTCGGCCTTGATAGTTACCAAAATTTTGGTGTTGGCCACTAAAGCCATGAGATTGGCCTTGATTTCCATACCCTTGGCTTTGGTTTTGATTACTATACACTTGGTTGTTATAGTTACCTCGGAAACCTTGATTTCCTTGGTTCCTATAACAACCATTGTTGTAGTTATCAAAACTACCTTGTTGGTGAGAATTCCTATTCCCAAAATTCCTTGGACCATCAAATCTTTGTCCATTGTTATTATTAGATACAAAATTCACCTGCTCACAATCATTGTTTTCAACATCATCATAATTCTCAAAAGCATTTGGATAATTTGAAGAATCATGGTCATAAGACCCACAAACATCACAAAAGATACAACCACTTGGCATATTACTCGAAGTAGAAGGAGGAGTAGAGTTAGAAGGTGTACCTCTCCCTTTTATGTGTGAGGGAAGACTTAGTGCAATTGAATAGGCACTCTCTAGCTTGGATTTAATCAATGTCATCTCCTTTCCCAAGTTTGAGATTTGGGAAGAAAAGTTATTGATTGCATTAAGATGATCAACCGAATAAACCGTTGAGCCACTCTTGCTTATGGACTCTCTCCCTCCTTCTTGACAATCCATATAGTGACGAACTACATCCTCAATTATATCTACAACCTCTTCTTCGGTCTTGTTCATAATCGGGCCTCCGGCTCCGGCATCAAGACACGACTTCCCTTGGGGGCTCAATCCTCTATAGAAAATTTGTATGATTTGATAGGTTGGTATTCCATGATGAGGACATTCTTGTTGATACTCCTTGTATCTTTCCCAAGCCTCATACAAACTCTCACTAGGCTATTGCTTGAAACTTTGGATTAGAGTTCTTGCCTCGGCAGTCTTCTTTTGAGGATATAAGCGAGAAAGAAACTCCTTAGTAACCTAATCCCAAGTTCTCAAGGAATTAGGTTTCACTTCCTTGTCCAACCATTCCAAAGCCCTCCCGATTAGAGAAAACAGAAATAGCTTGAGCCTTATGAACTCTTGAGAAACCCCATTGACCTTGATGGTATTACAATACTTCTCAAACTCTTTGAGATGGTTTAGTTGGCTTTCATGCTTGGCTCCACTAAATTGCCTTCGTTTAATCATTGTTATCATTGCCGGCCTTATCTCAAAGTCATTAGCAGGAGTTGTTAGTGGAGCTATGCCACTCTCAAATCTATAAGTGCCGGGAGTTCCCAACTCCTTCAAAGCAACTCTTGGATTAGCTCCCATGCTTACTCGATCCTCCTCTTCTCTTTCTTGGTGAATTTCCTCTGTTGGAGAGCTTGGACTCAAAGAACGATTAGCAACCCTTATCCTTGTTATTGTTCTCTCGATTTCCAGATCAAATGGCACTAAAGTCCTTCCTCTTATCCTACGCATACAAAAAAAACTCAAAGCAAATATCAATAGCACGACTACAAATGTATCCTAAAGAGAACCTTTTGTATTTTTGAAATTAAGTGAAATAGACTCAACAACAATAGCAAACAACTACGCCACTCCTCGGCAACGGCGCAATTTATTATCTAGGGCGGAGACTAGGTCGTTGAAAACTAATCTACCCTCGGTCAAAACAAAATTTGTAATCTCTCAACACACCCTTATACCTAGCATAGGAGTAAGTCGAGGGTCGAACCATTAGGAATGGGAGATAAATGCTAATGCTAAAGCTAAGCTATCTCGAAGTAATGAATTAAGGTGTGTATATTCTAAACAATCAAGAAGAAATCAAATAATATTAAGCACTAGGGTTAGGATTCGCATATACTCGGAATGGATATAGCTAATTGGGATTGGAGATGACTAAGTCGAGTGTTGTGAGGGAAAATCAATTAAGCAATCAAGAGAGTATGGTAGGCTAATCTCCTAAAGGTCAAATTAGCGTCAACTACGAGAGACTCTAACTAGGAACCTTGCAAACCTACTCAATCGACAAAAGAAAGCCACAAATCAATCATCCGTATCAAATGCGAGCTTACAATGCATTCTAGTGTAACAATCAAAGTTAGCTACTCTTCAATTAATCACACACATGCACTTAATCAATCAACCAATTTAATCACAACATCAACTCCATCAATTTCCCCCAATTAGCATCAATCCATTACTCATATATGCTTCACCATTCCCCTAGCAAGAGAACTACTCACAATCCATAGAAATCAAGATCAAAACTAAGCTAATCAACAATTTCATCATCATCATATCAATAAAACTAATTCAATCACAAATTCAATTTAAACTTGAACAATCAACAAACAATTGAAATGATAAGCTAAAGATTGCATTAAAATAAAAGAAATCCTTACAAACTTGCTTCAATTCAATGGAGAAAATGCTATAATTATCAATCTTCAATTATCAATCAAGAACTTCTCTCTCTACAATCTAGAGTTTCTCTCTCTAAAATTCCTATTCTAATTCTTTTAAAATCTATTATAATCTTCTTTTTTCTAAAAATAGAATGAAAGTCTATATATAGTAAAACTAACAAAGAGAAATTAGTTAGATCGTCCCCAAATAAACCCGTACAGGCTCGGCCAACTATAAGGAAGAGCGCGGCCGCGCAAATCTGGGTACGGAACAAAGACCCAAACAGGCGCGGCTGCGCTCGAGAGAGGCGCGGCGGCGCCATAGTTGCGCGCGCCCGCGCCTGGGAACATGGCAGCCCTCTTCACCATCATGTCGATGCTCCTCGTGCGTTCTACTCAATGCTCTTAATAAACACAGGACCTTCCAGTTTCCAAACTCCATGTTTGTGGGTTCAACACGAGAAATCATGCCCCCATGGCTTGAATGCACGACCTAAGGTCTTTAGGAACTTGAACTTCTCCATGCTTGAGCTTCAAATGGAGAACATTAGGCATCCTGATCAATGCCAAACTCGGGAAGAGGCCTCGAGAATCTTGGATAACGACCTTAACCTGAAAAATGAAGAAAAACAAGAAAATAAAAGAGAAAATAACGAAATAAACCAAGAAATGCATAAAGATAAAAGTTCAACAGAAAATGCAAACTTAAAGAAATAAAGAGTAAAATTAAAGAAAAGCTAAGGAAAAGAGCTATAGAATAGCATGAAATTCACCCTAAAGAGAACCAAATGAGTGCCATAAATGACACTCATCAGCCATAATAATTCAAAGGAATGAAAAAGAAAAATAAAATAAAGAACAAAAATTTAAAGCCAAAAAAAAAGTGAAAAATAAAACCTGTAAATTTCAATTTCAAATACACAATTACACATCTTGGGGGGCTTTTCTCAAGTCTTGAGCTTTTCACCCTTCTTCAAACGACCAACCTTAACCACGTTACAACCCTCAAAATACCACTTTGTGGTGTACATACACTTGTGAAAAGTTCGGTTAGAGCTACGTTCGACCTGATTCCTAACGGATACGTAGGCAATCTCACATTAAGGTGTAGCCACGTCCATATTCATATGCATATCGTGTCAAAGAATATCCAATGCTTATCCCTATATATATAGAGCTATACTTGGGGGCTTGAACCTGCATTACTTAGCCTACCCAGCCTAAAGAGTCACCATCTCGACTATTCTCACATTTTTTACCATCACCAATTCATCATAACCTTTGCAGCCAGCCTTAGTATCACATTCACACACTTATTTCACACATACACATCCATATCATCCTTCCCATAGGAACCCTTTATCATGAAATCTTGTTCCTCTACGGGCATGCTTCATCATCTTTTAAGACAACATTCATTAGAAGAAACATTGTATACTTTCTTAGCTTCCTAACCTGAGCAATATTCATTGTTTCACGCATCGCATAATGTGCTTAGAAACATTTATAAATCAAAGATATGTGATAATACAAATCATATCGTTCTTAGCTCCTTAACCTAAGCAACGTTCAGTATGCAATCTCAACAATCACTACATCTATATGCATGCTTAGCTTCCAGACCTAAACAACGTTCATCAAGATTCTTTTTCATACACTGTTGTGCTTAGCTTCATGACCTAAGTGCATTCATTAATCGTTTCACATGATGTAATTGTCCTTAGCCTTCTGGCCTACGAACATTCATCATGCATACATTATTATCAAGACAAGAAATTCAAGTTGACAAGAAGAAAATCCATGCGATTTATCTCGCTTTGCTCAATGAGTAAGCTCAAAACTTCTTCCTTTTCTTTCATGTCTTTTCTTTTAGGGAAGTTCAAAAAACTTTTCAAAATTTTAATTGAGGGAAGTTTGAAAACAAAGCTTCATTTTCATGTCTGTTTTGGGTAAAATTACCCAAGATGCGTGGCCCTATCATAAGCTGTCACGTGTCAACCCATGAGAGGTCCAAATGGATCTCTCACCTAATGACACATGTCCCTCAATTTAAATGGGAGAAAATGTTGCCTTCCTAGCCCAAATCCTAAGAAAGTCGTAATACGCACAACCCACTAAACTTAGGTCAGAATGACCTAAGAAAGAGCGCTTTTCCCAATGACCCTATAAATAGGGAGATTTCCCCCCATTTATGGGACATATACAATTATTATAAGCAACCATACATTTTCTCATATTAGAGAAAATATCTGATTTCGAAATCCGAGAAGATCTCATTTTTACCTTTTCTACACCCTCTCATCTTCCACGACCAATACTAACTTAATCGTCGGAGGCGGAGCTCCTACCAACTAGAGTCTCCGTGTTTTGCAGGTACAGAGCGCGCCGGACTAGTCTTACTAATGTAACTCTCCCACGAGACCAAAAACACCCAAAATATTTGGCGACGTCTGTGGGAAGAGTACCTCTAATATCGTTCAAGATTCTATACCGCCA